TTTTTTTACAACCATTGCAACTGCGTTCAAAATAGCCGTGCAATCGAACGAAGTTCCAATAAAGACCATCGTGGCCACATTGCTGTTGTACGGCGTGAAAGAATTTCTTAACGACATCATCTTTTCTTGTCCAGAAGAACATTTTCAAGTTTACGGCAGTCTCTTCATCTTCGGCCCGTCTATTTTCCTCTTCTGTCTTTCGCTGCTGGCTTCTCCTCCTTTTTGGCAAGCTGTCACCGGCTGTTGTCTCCTGAGATTTCGCGGAAAGAAATTGTTGTTGATGAAGGCGAAAAATAGCGTGTTCGTGGCTTGTTTGCCTCCTCTTATTTGGTTGATGTACGCTTTCGTCGAAGAGGACTATTACGTTTGTGCTAAACTTGGTCCTCCTGACGCAGCACTTGCTATGGCAAACACAACTGCGCAGAGAGAAGCCGTGAAAAAGGAATTTACTCAAGCAAAAACGACGTCACAGTTGATCGCATGGGGTTTAGTACTAGGTATAGTTATTCTTTCCACAATCTTCGTCACGATCTACCGCTTGTGCTTGCCAATTGATCCAAAACTACTGGGCAAATACGCTTATGAGGAATACGAAGCCGACAAAGCTGTGGCCCTTTTCAACGAAAAAGTAAAACCTCTCGCAGAACAACAAGCGCAAGACCTGATCGATGGTTTGTTTGAGACATACAAGGACAAAGATCCCGAGGAACAGCTTGCAATTGTCGAGGAGCAGCTCAAGAAACTATTCCCGAGACATGCTGGTGTTTTAACGGGATCTGTTCGATCTTACCCAAGTGGATCAAGACAAGTGTCACCAGCTATTGCTTCAAAGAAAACAGAGGCAGGGAATACCATAGAGTTACGTCCAATGATGTCATAGACAGGATAAAATGCCCCCAACCCCCGCGTCCCCAGAAGGGTTACGTTGAAAATGCTGCGCTTTCCAGGAAAGTCTTTCCCACAATCTTAGTTGGCTGCATCACGTAAGGTTGAACCAGTTTCTATAGCTGTGTGATTGCTGTTTAAAAACCACCTCATTTGCACTAATTATTTTTTAACCCTTTAACTCTCAAGATCTGATTGTTAATTTTCCTTTTTAGGTGCTACTCATTTCCTTGTAAATTAGTCACAGGAATTTGGTGTTAGATCAAGATAACAACTTGTACCTGATAAGTTTAAGTATTCTCACTACCTCTCTTCACTGGATAATGTATGGATATTATGGGGAGAAGTTATATGTGAATCCCTTTTAAGAATTAAGGGGTTAACCCTTAAACTCTTACAAGTGACCAAGACAGAATTTCTCCTTACAATAACAATACATTATCAATCAGGCAAGTGATGAGAATAAAGAAAGATATAAATTAAGGGACTATGTGTTGATCCAATACCAAATTCTCCAAAGAAACATAAGTATTGTATAGATGACAGTGAGGAGAATTCTAATGAGATCACAGGAGTGAAATGGTTAAAGTTGGATGCAGACACCTTTTATTGGACAGTTCCATCAGCCAATCATCCAGATACTCTCAAATGGGATTCAGGTAATTGATTAAAGTAACCAGACAGAAACAACAACTTGGATCCAAAACTTGGATGGATGGATTTAGTAGATTAGAGTGTCTCTACTAGAGACATTTCTGCAGTTAGAACTTATATAGAAAATCCACAGTTGTGAGTTTAAAAATTAGACTTACTGGCCTTCCTTCAAATAAGTTTCATACATTTTTTCCTCTAAAATCATGAAATTATAGTAACTGTTATAATTGATTGTAATAGGACTTCACTCATTCTGCTTTGTAATCTTACCTATGATTGACCCATTAGGGCCAATTAGACCAATTAGCGCAGTCCCTGCACATCAAACTCGCACTTTGTGGCTGTCCAATTTTTTTAAGTCACTTTGATGGTTACAGACCAAACTTAACCCCACCCAGTCATGTAGCCAATGTAAATCAACTTGAACATTCATTTGCATGTGAAGCAAATTATAACAAGAGTGGAAGGAAGTTATGTCCAGGAAAATTTGTTTCATGGATGAGTTGTCTCACACTCTTCAAACCATTTACTGTACTCTTCACATGAATAATGCAGGCTAGCATTCTGGTATAAAATTTTTTAATTCTTTTTATTATCATTTCCTGGAGGTGATGTGTATATTAATGAAAATCTCACAGACTTAATGCAATATTACTCACATCATTGAAGCAACTCAACTGTGCTCCTTTAATTTTAATTGTTTCTTCAGTGTTCTAGATTAAAATTGTGTACCACATCATGGTGTGCAATATGTGTGCAAGACATGGGATTATCGTATATTTCAAACAATATTATATCCCCCCTTTCTCCCCCCCCCCCCCCACTACCAGGGGCTCCATGTGTTGATTAAAACCCTCCTGGCCAGCTGATGCAGAGGAGGGTGTAGCCCTCAGATGGAAAAAATTATCCTCAAAATTAAGTTTCAATTCTTGTTCAAGATAACTAAGTTCTGTTTTTTACAATACAACTGCTGCCTTAAGAGTGATGAGACAAGTAAAGTGACAGAAAAAAGTGTAATGAGATAGGAATGTTATTCAAATGCAAATGAAAAGAGCAGGAATAACGGGTTAAAGTGACTGGCATCTGATTTCTCCTTACTGTTTCACTTGGGAATCAAATAAAAAATGAAAGAACAAAATGATCATGCACTAAAATCACTCTAGTCTTGGTTATTAAACAAATTCTCCCTGTCAGTACCATAGGAAATGTACAGATAAAAGTATGGAGAATATGCATAGTGATATTAGGGTGTTAGTAATGGATTAAATTTGGGTCATCTCATATTCCAAAGGGGATTTTTAAGAACTATAGTTTAGTAAATGAAACACTGACATTTTGAAAGAAAATTGTGAATTTCTTTCATTGATACCCCCTCAAGATTCTTGCCCTAATTTGAGCTAACATCGTATCATGGCAGAAAAGTGCGTGTTTGTCAATCAGGTTTAAAAATGCAAAAACCCTTTCATTTCTTTACCCTGATTAAGACAAAAATGTCTAAAAAAAATGTCATTGTGGTATATTGATTTCATCCAGTCATGTTCAATATATTAAGCAAGTAATTGTTTGTTTGCATTTTGTTTACTTAGTTGTTACTCTCTTTTGGGTTCTAGCCATTTTTAAATGCTTTATTTATGCCCTTAGTTCGAGATATCCTCCGCGCGCGTTTGATCACGTGACCAAATACCCCTCAGCTGAAACTGAGTGGTTTTTCCCATTTTTCAAACCTTACTTCCACTACGATAAGTATTCGTTTAAAATTTAATTCAAGCTTAGAGAGCGTTTTGTGTCGCATACATATTTACAAAGAGTATGCATAAGGGTCAGTGCGTTTATTGTATTATCAGTCGTTTGCTTGCTGTATTTTGAAATGAGGCTGGTAAAAATCAAACGGAGTTTCGTTAACCTGTACAGAATACAAATTCACTCTCTGTTGATTCCCTTCTTATCGGTGTTTTATTTATCAGCTCATTTCGCTAATTTACAAGGGTTGAGAAGAAAATGTAACATCATGTTAAAACTTTGCGGGGTGAACATTCTTAAAGAGTATTATACAGCATTGATGAATGAAAATCTAAAGCTCTTTTTGAACATGGATCCCTGTCAATAAGGTTTTAATTAAATAATGAGGTAGTCCAAAGAAGAAGGACTAAAATAAGGTTAGAGAAATATTCAACAAGGAAGCTCAAAATAATACTGTTATCAACTCTTCAAATATTAACACTTCCGAATTATATTAAAACACTTTATCTTCTTTAGACGTCAAAATATCTTCTCACATAAATAAAAAATATCAGATTGAAATGGTTTTCTATTTCGTGCCTTTTGTTTCTTTCTTGGGTTTACAGGTTCAGTTGCTTCCAAATCAGCTGAAACTAACTCCAAGTTATCGTAGGGCACTGCTAATTTGCTTCGGCCAATAGTTCAAAATGTGCTAAGTGTAAACGTCGAGGAAAATTGCCTGGATTGTATTTAACTTGGGTCTCATTCGTGACGAAAACCTGACATGGTTTGCATCAAGTGAAGACAAAGGCGTTGTCCACGAAGGAGTCATTTTTTTTAGTTTACCTCGTTTTTAGAGATAGTAAAGCTGATGATTAGGAAAAATTGCGCCGAAATCTACCACTCTTTAACGGTCAACTAAAAAGGTTTAAGGTTCCAGGAATTTTCCCGACAGAGATAACGCTGCCTTTTGTAAACAGCATGAAGCCAAGAGTATTCTAAAACAAATACTCGTTTAAAAATAATCGGTGGACGACCACGATTCCGCAAGACAGTGAACCGCAGTTCGCGCCTTTCAACAGTCTCTATTAATGCATTGGCCTACCGCTGTTGGAGCACGGTACAACAGACGCATGGGCAAGCCTTGCTCCCGTGATAGCAATCTGCTGATCTGACAGCCTACGTCTGGATGATTTCTTCATGGGAGGGGTGCCCATGTTTGCTGGCGTCGAGTAGCGATGTTGTTCTTCGGTTATCGTGTGGCAATTCTGTGAGAAGACCGGCGAGGAATATCGCTGAGGGGTCGGTTCATTATCGTAAATCGACCTCGGACGATTCTCGTAATGGGATATGGGCCGAGAATGCTCGGAGGGTTGTATTTCTCGTCTCCGTAAGGTGGAGAGCTCGAGCTCGTCGCCACCCGTAGATGCCCTTCGATGATTGGTCCGCACGGGGTGATATTCGACTTTTGTATAAAAGACAGTTTGATCAGATGACACACGTTTGAACTTTGTCAATACCGGATGGTGTCTTGTAACGTTCATCTCGCTTGAGGTTTGTCCGCGTTGTCGCGCCGGTTGACGAGTGAATGATATAGTAACCGGTTGGTGCACGGGAGTTGTTATCTCCCTCGCAGTATGATTTACATCACTGCGTACATGTCTGGCCCGAGCAGGCCGCAGTTGTGAGTCAACATAGACCTCATTGACGTTCTCTGCGCTCTGTGCTTGGCGCACTTCGACACCTACCTCGCGCTGAGGTCGGGGCTCACGCATGACGGTAAAATATGTCCCTTGGCTCGTTTCCTGGACTTTGGCCACTGATGATGGAGCCTCTAAATTTTTCCCTTTGTGACTGAAAAAGGTCTTCCATTTACGTCCACTCATGGATCCTTCACTTGTTTTCCGTCTTGCGGGAACCTCCACTGACGTCCTGTACACAGGGGTCTCGACCCGCTGAGGCTCCTCTACCGACTTGGCTCGAATGAGCCTCCCTGAGGGTCTAGAAGGCGTGGTCTGAGCACGTGCCCGGGCTTCTTCCAGTGATATTAGTTTCGTGGGAGGGGAAATAGACAGCGAAGCCATCCGTGGACCAAGGGAAGGAGCGCCAGCGATATCTGAAATGAATGAATACCTGACGGTTACTTAATGAGTTTTCTCCATATTATTGACTGAAGCAGAATGCGTAAGGCCCAGCACTTCAATGCAACCACCACAAGTCCGTTACTAAAAGAAGATGGCGGTGATCAAAATCAAGCAATTTAACGCGACAAACATCTTTACCTGAATCAGCGACGATCTTTTGTTGTTTTTCCCAAGAACCCGAAGAATATCGCGGATTTGCCACGATGGCGGCGGCAGCCGCCTTCTCGTCAAAAAACACGTGAACGTTCTTAATAAGATACTCGACAATAACAGCTTGAACATTAACTTGCAGAAGGGCCGCACCTCCACTGTCAAGCGACATGGGTCGGAGGAGGTTTGGTGACCACACTATCGCCAGGTTCTTCGCATGCATGCCAGTCTGGGGCGAAAACGAGGCGACATGTGACAAGTGGCGTAACAAGTACTCCAGTGTTCTGTAGTGGGGAGGGGGAAGTTGCTGAACTACGTGATGGACAGCAATCTGACGTTGCAGTTCATCAGAAATATGAATGGCGGTCTGAAAAGCATAGATTACAGAACACTGTTGAGACAGTAGTGACCAGGAGTCAATATCTTAAATAATCGGTCATGTCTGTCGTTGTCCCAACACTACGATGGCAAAGAAGATGCTAATTATGAAATCAAAGCGGCCACACCAACAGTACCCCTGGAAGGTCTCGATTGAACAAGAAATAGAAGCACGGAAGAGAACGCTGACTTTGAGGCATTGATTAGGCGACGACTACTCGATTCCATTCAGGAGCAACAAGATTGCTGATTGGAGGAACATACTGCAACTAGAAGAGGCAATCTGCAACTCGGATATTCTATTATTACGGGATTGTGGGTGTATGCAATAATTTGTAAGGCAACAATCAACGGTCGAACAAATACTCAATTACCAAAATTCATCATTTCGTTTCGTTTAGTTTGTTACTTTTGTTATTGTTTCGACCACATTTCCGTCTATGGAATCTAACACTTACTTTGTCTCCCTTTGTGTTCGAAACGCCATTATAATTAAACTAGGTACTAATAATAATAATCATAACGATGATGATGGTGATGATGATAAAAATGATAATGATAACGATGATCAAAGAAATTTAAAATAAATTTAAAAAACTTAATTAATAGGGAAAAAGACGTACGACAATGAGCTTGAGCCTACCACAAACTTGTCGTAGAGATGATAAGTCAGCAACGGATTAGGTAGCTCTCTGAGAAAATTAAAGAACAAGGCAGAAGTTTTTCGACATTGTATGTCGTCTACTTGACAAGTAAAGCGACTTTTGTTGCGACTCTCAGGCCCAACGATTTCAGTTCGTTCCAATTTTCAAAAGACCTATTTCGACACCGTGAAAAACTGTCGTCAAAGTGGAGGAAGCCACGAAGCAAAACAAACAAAACAACACGACGCATAAAAACACATACACATACACATACACCTACACAAACCAAGTAAATAAAGCAAAATTCTTTAAAGGAGGGACTAAATATAAAAGAAAAGAGGACAGCTATAGATGCAAAAAGATCTAAAACACGGATTGCGAGTAACAAGTTTGAAAAAACTATATGGGCTGGATTTCTTAACATGAACACAAGAAGACAAAGCTGTCGCTAAGAGGGGTGAAACGGGTCTCAACACAGGTTAAAAGGGATGCTTCAAGAGTTCTTACCTAAAGTACATCTTGAGCAAAGAGCTTATGCAATGTATGTCCCGGATGTAACAGTCTTTCAAAAGATCAGGTGGTTCTTCCCCATCAAATGCCAATCTGAAAAGAGAATTATATCCACAAATTTGCAAATTTGCCTTTAAATTCGCGCTGTTGAGGAACCAAATGGACAGCAAGTGCACGCCAAGCCAAAATAATAGTTTGAAAGTGAAAAAGTGCTA